TTGAATAGGAAGTCATATACTGGCAATCTAAATGTGACCTTAAAATTGACCTTTGACCTACTTTTTATCATGAACTGAACTCTGCTAATTTCTTTCTCTTTTAACTTCAAACTTGACAGAGATAGGTCCATAGTTACTCTTGAACTTGAATAGGAAGTCATATACTGGCAATTTACTCTGACCTTGAAATTGACCCTTGACCTACCTTACGAAGAACTTAAATTTGATTGTACCATATATATTTTTTGCAATAGTTAAAAAATTCTTGTTGATTGCATTTTTACAGCTTGTCAAGCACAAAACTGGTGGCTGTGTCCCTTATTTTGTGTATGTGGGGGTCTATACGAATGTGTTTGCTCCAGCTGGTGGTACAATATTTGGAGGCGGTATCGCCTCTCTGATCCTCTAGTTAGACTGGTGCTTTAGGCGGTTTTATAACAATATGGGGTGACAAATAAAACAAGTGTGTGTGTGTGTGTGTGTGTGTGTGTGTGTGTGTGTGTGTGTGTTAATATATTGAAACAGAATTATATGAAAAAATATGTTTAATTTTTTTTTAAATTAAAAAAAATGTTCTTTTTATGTGAGAAAAGAAAAGTTTAGTAAAATTATGTTTTTATTTATATATTTCAGTAGAGGGTGGTGTCCTGGTTCACTGTATATCAGGGTGGGACCGCACTCCTCTGTTTGTATCTCTACTCCGTCTGTCTCTGTGGGCGGATGGTCTGGTGCATTCCTCTCTTAGTGCAATGGAAATACTCTACCTAACAGTGGCCTATGACTGGTATTTGTTTGGGTGAGTACTGGGTAATTAAGCTATTAATATACTTGTATAATATTCACAGATTAATCATCGTCATTCTTTTCCCTTGGGCAGCAGCATGTTAAGGTTAGAGTTGTTGCATAGATAATAGAGGATTGAAAGTTTGGATACCATTTCTCCTCTTCACTGAGAAGAGTTAGATACTTGTCTGTTACATTGATGCATTTTTGATGGGTATATGTAGTTATTAATTATAGTTCACTTGTCTTAATTTCAGTCACAATCTGCCTGACAGACTGGCCAGAGGAGAAGAAGTAGGTATCACTGTAGTTTGGTCATTGTCTGTCCAGACTTTATTTACTGTTTTGTATTAGTTCAGTCTGTGATGATTGGGAGCTGTTTCAGTTGCACTTTGTTTTACAGGAATTATCAGATTTTTTTCTCTGAATGTTTTATAATATATAACTTGAATGCACTAGAGTGGCAAACGTATGTTTTACATGTTGATATAAACACTTGAAAAATGTTTGAAATACTAAGCATATGAGTTCATCACTGTAATATTGATCTAAGCTGATAATGTTGTCTTTTCTCTTTCAGATTTTATTCTTTTGTTTCTATTTCTTGGGGTATATCCAGTCAGAAGAATTTTCCTTAGCAAAAAAGTGAGTTGATAATTGATCATTGTAATACAGCAGATCCTTACCACATTTTATACAATATTATGTGCAAGCATAATTTATATTAATATGCAATCAAACTTAATCTTTCAAGATTTTTTGACTATTAATAAATGCTAATTTTTACTATGTCATATTTAAAGTTTCACACACAACAGTATTATTTTTTGCACATTCACAGGGAGTAAAAAAAATAGACTTTATGTGAAAGAAAAAAAAATTAGTGAATGAAGCTCATGAGTTTGTAATGCAGTAAGTGTATGATTTTCACTGTTTCAGGCCTAGGTCTAGGGCAGTGAGTAGGGCAGATTCTGAGTGCAATATTGAAGGGGTTCTATTAGGTAAGAGACTGAACAAGGATTCATTACTGGTCTGGAGCTACAAATAATTGAAATAATGCTGTAAGGCATTTTGATGCAGAATGTCACATGTTAGGTTATTTAACGCACCAAAAAGAAATGCAGTAGAATTAAAGAATGCTATTTTTTTTTTTTTTTTTACAATTTTCTGTTGAAGAATGCATCATTGGTGTTTTGTATCTTGTAAGAAAATGTTATTGAGCTCTGTCTCCAGAAATAATAATTAAATCAGTTAAAATGATTACTTTTTTTTTTCAGTGCAATATTTTTTTACACTAATAGTGTTTACCTTGGTTTATTTACTCATTCCATTGTAAACATACAATATATATATCTGCCATATTTCAGATGCCTCTGACACCACAATCCGTTATGGTCGTTGTGGTAGTACCACCAGTATTAACAGTGTTAGCAGTATCACTAGCAATAGGAGTAGTGTGGACAATGCACCTATGTTCTTCACAGCTGGTAGTCCAGAGGAAGACTCCTTCATACAGAGCAGGTGAGGGATGTTAACTAGGCATTTCATGGGTGACTGATGGTTTGTTTATGATTTACACTGAAAAATATATTTGTAATTTATTGAAATGAAGACAAAAGGCATGTATCAGTATGTGAGACAGGTAAAGGAGTATATTTATAAAAAACGGCTCTCAGTGTGCTTACTTTGCCTTTCTTAGCTTTGTCATAGAAGTTGGTTGCTATCAGTTGAAGTATATTGCTCAATGCTGTATTAGACTAGTACTTAGTGCACTGCGACCTTTTCAAGAAAAGATGTATGCAGATGAGAAATTCTCAATGAGTGCTTTGTCGCTGATAAATATATGATACAATTGTCATTCTTTGCTGACATTTTGACCAAGTTTTTATTATATTCCAATCTCTTGCATATTCCCAGCAGTGGCGTGCCCTCAGTCAGTTTTCACAGAAAATCGCCCACTAGTCGTCACCAGCTGAGCTCTGAGTCTTCCAGTAGCACACCAGGCAGTTACCATGGCGTGGCGTACACGGCGAGTACCACGGCGGTCCCAGTGCCAAGCGGAAGCAGACTACGAGAGAAAAGTTTAGCTGAGGCTGCCAATTCACCAGCTTGTGGAAGGTAAGAACTGTTTCTGTATATGGATGAGTGGATGTGTTTGTTACTGAATTCTTCAGGTTGAAGCCTCTCAAGGTGTAATGCAGTAAGTTAGTTATGGGGTATTTTATACAATCATTGTTTTCTTAAATTTTCCTTAAGTATATCAATATATTATCAAACTGTTTAAATATTTTATAGAAAATTTTTACTTCAGTTTCAACAATGCTTTTTTTGCAAATTTAAGTAGCATCTCTCCTACCATTTAAAGATATTTTTTCCGTTAACAAACAGTATAAATTTCAAACTTATATCTCTTTTTTTAATTAGACTACATAAATTTTTTTACACATCTTTCTTTCTTGTCAGAATACATAGTTTACTTGTATATACACCCACTATTTTCAGTTGGCAAGTGATCTCGGCCACAGGAAGTCTCAAGGATGCGGCCACCTTCAGGGACTCTCCCAAGGCATCAGGTTCTGATCACAATATCAGTATGGACAGCAGGACAAGTTGGTGGGTGCCTCTCTGTCTGTTTAGTATCGATTCATTGTACCTTTTTCATATATATTTATATTATTTCATTTGATATTCAACATTCGGACAGATTTCTACAGGAATGTTCTTTTGTAAATTTACTCAATTCATTTGTTATATAACTTGTGGTGGATTTCTCTGAATAATACCAAGAAGTCAAACATAATGTATATTTGGAACTTAAGTCATTTTAGTCTACAAGTCATTTGTTTATAGCTGGACTGGTAAGAAATGTGCATCGTGAAAGTTTTTCGCATGGTTCATTTTTTATTTATTTTTTGCTCCTTTCACAGGTGTGCGGAGATCACCGAGATGACAGAATCCAATGAAGGCACCCCAAGAATGCAAAAACTGGACAGAGTGAGGAAAATATTCCACAATGTGTACAGTGTGACTATAGGCTTTAAGAATGGACCAGACCCTTCAGGGGGACTCACTAGTTTATTGGACCACTTTGCAGAAAAAGTTGGTATTCGAGGAGCAAAAAGTACTTTTGTATAGCATCGGCTGCAGCTGATATGTGGGGATTTTGATTTTCTTTTGTGCGTGTGTGCATTTTGATGCACAGGGATATTTGTTTTTATTTAATATACAAAGAGAGACAGTATAAATTATTCATGTCATGGGCCACAATAATTTGATTAAAACTGAATGTTTGTTGTGGGTGTCGAAGTTTTGAGAAGCTCTCGTCATCTTCAGTATCGAAATATCATGGAGGAAGTTGTGTCGCTGTGGTTTACGTAATTGTTCAGTGTTGGATACTGTTGAACATGTTAACATTATGTCGCACAATAGAAGGTAACATCTGTGTAACAGGTAATAGCTATGGAATAGAGGTTGCACCCAGACACCTCCCCATCAAGCAATATTGAGGCAAACTTCCTTTAGGAGCTGGTTGCAGATATTAAAGCCATATTCAGGGGTCAGCTGCACCAGTTTTCTCACTCCAAAGAAACACACAACAGTATCAGATGTTCAAATGTTGGTGTTTTTTCTTCCTGTGTTCCTACAGAACTGATAGACATTCCTGTGTAAAGCTGAGGCAATACTACAATACTATCTGTATACGCAGAAACCTTCCCTCATTCAACTTACTTAGTACATTGCCCAAAAATGGTATTATAGCGACGGGTAGAACAACACAAAAATTATTGAGACAAGTGTATTTTTTCTTTCTTTCTTTTTACAGGATATGAATAATTTAATAAAAAAATTACAACCTGAAGTTTTAGTTGTGCATAGAACAGTTTTGATCAAGAGTGTAATCCTTCAATATCTTCTGGATAATTTACCCATATGTTGTTACCTGAATGTTCTTTTGAATTTTTTCTTCAAATTTCCCAAAAACATTAATATAAAATTGCCACTTTTATTTAAAAAAGGCATTTTTATGTCAGTTTCAGTGAAGTCTTATAGTTCTAGCATAAACTTTCATATCCCACTGCACAATAAATTGCATATTTTTTAATTGTTTCACATAATTCCTGTTTCAATATGTTGTCTTTTACAAAAAAAGAGATAAATGAAATTTTATGCACACATGCTACTTTAAACTGCCCTTCTTTTTCTTAGGCAGCCATTCAAAGTGTTCACACCTTGCCAGTGGGTTAGAAGCATGTCCCTGGGGCCGGGCACAACACCAGAACTGTCTGCCAAAATTCACGCCTTCTTTCTTAACCGTTCTCAGAACACACGGCTCTTTATGCCCCTTGCAAGATGGCGGTTTGGGTGGTCCTTTCAACATCGTTTTCCAAGCGTCTTTTAGATTTTGGCTTTTGTTGATCGTCTCCTGGGATGATGGAGTTTCGTTGCTTTCCTGTGAGGAGTGTAGTGATATCGATTCACTGTATGTGACTGATGAGGTCTCATTGCTCTCTTGTGAAGAATAAGTTCCCTCTCCGTCGCTGTTCTGGGAAAGAAATATCCCATCTTCAATGCAAGTTCTGTTTTCAATCCCAGAGTCAAGAGAACCTTTTTCTTTGGCCGGAGTAATTGTTTTTGAAACAAAAAAATTCATTAAACTAGACTGTTTGCCTTTCCTATCATGCATTTTGGACTTTTTGGATGTCTGCTTCATTAACAGAGGTGCAGCTCTTTTGGAAAGGAGTCTTGTTTCTGTTTTGTGTTTGACCTCTGTAATGGTACGGGCATCTGTCACAGATTCATCTTTTTCACAAAATTCCTCCTTGAAAATGGTGGCCTCTGATTTAACCAACTCCACTGAAGTATGCTTTGGCTCCTTAACAGACTTACTGAAAAATTCTGACAGCTTTTGCTGCTTCCCTGAAAATTCTGGCATAAATTTCGTACAAATGGGTGGATATTTTGCAGACTGTACAATATCACAGGTCAACTCTGCCTTAACTGGGCAGTGGTCACTTCCCTCTATATCTGGACGGATTACACAGTCCCTGACCAGCCCTTCACAGAGGTCAGCACTGGCCAGAATGTAGTCTATCCTGGTTCCGTAGTTGGTCTGTCTGGCTCCTGTGGAGGTGTTCCAACATGTGAAAGCATTTTTTTCATTGGGACGGAAATAACGAAACGTGTCAACGAATATGCCCCCTGTGACAATAGAGTCTGTGTCTGCTTCCACATCCTGAGCTGGTTCTGCTGCTGTCCCTATTGGCTTTAGGAATGCATTGAGCCATTTGCGGCTTGGACGGGCATCAAATTCCTAAAAGTAAATATTTTGATCAGATGAGCTTTAAAGTATGATTCATTTTCATGTCAAGAACAATAATTTGATTTTCTCAAGATTATTATAGTTACTGAACTGCATTTAAGTTGTGAATGTAAATAAGCAAACACTCGGACACACATACACGACGGAGTGACACAGTTACTGTAATATTATCTTAGTTATTTGGCTAAAATAAATATGGGCATCAACAAAGTGGAATCTTAATTTACATTACCAGAAAGCATTTGACGTCTGCTGTAGTAATATAGCCTGCAAGACACACCTACCTCCTTCTCCACAGGATCACAGTGGTCTATCTGCCTGTGAGAGATGTTCAGATCTCCAAGTATGATGACATGGCTGGGAAGAGAGATACAGGCAATAAATAAATTACAATAATTCCAGTATATATTAATGAAAATACCAGTACTAAATTCATATGTGCATCACTTGCCTTCCATTGCAATAATTATTATATGTGCACCAAACAAATTGCTCCTAACTCAGAGAAATTACTTTTTCAAATGCAACAAAATTTCATACTTTTAAGAAAAAGCATAAATTAGAACTTATTCTGAATTCGACTAATATGAATACATTTAAAAGCTAGCCCATGAAAAAAAAAATGAATAGATGTGACTTCAGAATAATGAGGAATAAAATAGTCTTAATCTAAAACATGGCACTACTAGATGTGTAATGTACTGACAATAATGAATATACATAAATAGATGTGTAAATGCTCTATAAAGTATGTGTTAGAGTCCTACCCACCTGCCCGCGTGGACGAGAGCCTCGGCTCTAGTCTGAAGAAGCTGACAGAACCTCTGTTTGAACACCTGTCTGTCTTCCCTCTCTGGGTCAGCACGGGGGACATACACATTGATGATAGTCAGTAGCTCTTCCTTGCTTTCTTCTGCCCTGTGGTATAATAATAGGTATATCAGTATTAGACATGTCCAAGAAAAACACTTTTGTAAACTTGATATTTTGCAAATGCAAGTAAATGGAATTTTATTATGAAAAATGCTAAAAATCAGCTTCAGAGCTGTTTAAATTCCAGTCAAGAAAAACACTCCACTACCAAATCAGGGATTACTTATTAGAAATTTTCAAGTTCATTTGGAATATGAATTAAAATAAAATAAACATTTTATTATTTTTAAATGAAATTAAAACAAAAATGAAAATTACTTGTGCCCTTTTTTAAAAGAATAACCAACATATGCTACCTGATTTTATGTTGGGTGATGATAACACGCCCCTCATTGTCCAGACTCTGTAGTTCTTCATCAGTGAAATCAGCATGGTTACCATAGCAACCAATCAAAGCACTATCATCCCCTGTGGTTGCTAAGAGACCAGTCAGACCCTCCTCTGCCTTCACTGGGGTTGCATGGGTTTTGCAGTACGTTGCCACACCTGAAACCAACAATCAACATCAGCACTGTGAATGAACTTCTTCAAATGTATTTCTGGACTTAAAATCTACGTATTATAGTTCAAGACGCTGCCTATCCCTCAGACCTTGTGTATGGCAATAACTTCAGAGATCCAGCGTGTGCATGTGTGTGTGTGCGCGTGCATGCACTGTTGGAATGCCTCTGTGTGTGAAAGATTCATATGGAGCTTACCTGAATATCCACTTCTCACTTTAGAGAAACTATAATAAGAACTGTAACCTTCAACTATTGCAGTAGGCTCATCCAACTGGTCACCTGGACAAAAATAAAATTGTACAGTACACTGGGCTGATTGTAGTATGTACTGTACCCCATTAAGTTCACAACTTAGCCAAATAGGGATCAAATAACAAGCAACATGAGTGTTTTGGATTAGGCTTAATTTTAATCAAAGCATCAAATATTAGAGTCAAGTGTTGTAAATAATCAGCTTGGTTCTTTATAAGTATTCAGTCACGAATGAAAAATGCATTTAAACTCTTCAGTTTGAGGGGTGCATATTTCTACTTTACATCTGGTTCTCTGTGTAAAATTGTGTGCGTGAGAGAGCTCATCAACTCAGAGGTAAAATAGACAAGAGGATGAAAAGGGTGGTTTTCCTTCCATTAAACCCCAGCAGACCCTCACACACACACACACACACACACACACACAAGAACTAAGAAAAAGATGAGGGGAGGGACGATTATAAAATAACACTTTGACACATACGAGTAACTTTGGTCTCTTGGAAGCACACGATGTCAGCATCTAAATCATCTATCACTTTCTTCAGGGGGGATTTCGTTGCTCGAATACCATTGATGTTCCACGTTATGATCTTCATGTCTTCTTTATGGCTCGGAGATTGAAAAGCAGAACGAAAGTGTGGGAAAAACCCATTTTTGTAACAAGGAATTTGATTGGGCTTCTGAAATCAATCGTCTGAGATTCAGCCAATGACTGTCTAGCAATTTATTCCGCCCGTAAAGTGTACACAACGTGTTGTAGTTGAGTAACATAAATCTACCGGTGGATTCCAGACGAGTTTGCGCGGAAATTTAGAAAAAATGGATCCTAATTCATTAACAAAAGAGAAACTGAGGCAAGAATTGAAGCTGAATGACATAGAACTTCCAGGACCGGACGCTAAAAAGGATGTCTACGTGGAATTGTACCGCAAGCATCTGTTGAAAACGGTGCAGGACTCGCCGTTAACCGAGTTTTCGAGCGATGAGGAGTTCGAAATCGTCAATCAGAAACTGAAGATCAATGTGAGTAGTACTTTCTTGCATTTAGAAATTGAGCACACCTTCAGCAAGTGGAATATTTTACTCGGCCTGTTTGCCTAGTATTCTGATCCTTGTTATATGCAGCTGTATCTGATTTTTATTGATTTCAAACAAAATTATCATGTTTTTAGCAGCAGTAATTTCTTCCTTTCGTTTTTTGAATATGCATCAGTTCAGCACAAAGCATTATAGTCACATGATGCAGTCGATATGTCAGCTTGCAAATAAATGTACACTTTTGAGATGCATTAGGTTAGAAAACGCGCTTGAAAGCTCATGATACCAGAATATCGTGGAAATGTCCAGAGTACTACGTACTACTTGTACTACTACTGTAGGTTGGCATTTATCTCCACCTGTTAGAATTTTCACCTGTTAGCATTACTTTAATGTGTACTGTTTGGCATCAAACACTAAGTAGTGTGGAGAAGTTCAAAGTGAAAGTGGCCTTTGTGTAGACTGTAATTCATTAAAAAAGGCAGTAGATCAGTATATAAAACACTTGTGTTTACTTTGCACACTGCATAAAAGAACACAGCAAATATAGACTGTGAGTAATGCAGTTATTTTAGAAGAAATATCCAGATAAGATTGAACAGGTGCTGGATGAACAATACACATGGCAAAGAAGGGCACTGGTATGGTGTCAATCATTCCCAACTTGTATCTGTTGCCTGGGCTGTTTATTGATACACTCTCATGATGCCATGGAAACTTGTGGGAATAAGAATGCCCAGTTGCTGTGAAAATATAGTACAGATGTATTTATGTGAATTAAAAGTTGCAGAGAAATCAGCTTTGGGTCATTGATAAATGATGTACGTTAAGCATGGGACTAGAAATTAACTGCATTTTTAAGATTAATTTTGTATTTTCTTGACCTAGAAAATTACTTTGAAGTAGGGCAAGTTGTTTTAATGATTTAAAAATATTTCTTTTGACATAATCACAGGTGTTATAAGTAAAGTCAGCCTCAAGTGTGGCCCAGAGTAATGAAATGGTAGATCATGTGTTCCAGTTAAGACCTCATGTTGACATAAGGCGTTTGCACTTCAGCTTTCAGTTTTGAGAAATTTCTAGTATCATGTTAGCACACCTCAGTATCGGTATATTAAACGCATGTGTATATATTCCACCTCAAGAAAGATACAGGGCTATAAACTGGATTTTTCTGGGCAATTAAAAGGTGTTTATGTTTTAAACGACTTTTTAAAGCCTTTTGAGACATTTCTGCTGTTCATTTCTTTGCTTTGAGGAGAACTTTATTGTTTATTGTTTATATAACTCTTGCCACGGCCCAGCATAAACTGTACTGGAGTTAAATGGAAGCCATTACTGTTGAGAAAGCCAACAGTCTTTTGTAGTTTGTACATAATGGGTTGCATTTCAATTTAATGCTGGGTGACTTTGCTTGCAACCCTTATAATAGCCAGAATTATAGAGTTGAGCCGGACTATAGGTAATTCAGGAAAAAGGGAAAATTGTTGTAAGCAGTAGGCAAGAATGTCCTATTGTTACCACAGCTAGTCTGTTTCAATTAACATTCTCCCAGGAGTAAATTGTGTGTAAAAGCAATAAAATGTGAGCAGTCATTTTTTCTCCCTGTCGGGATTGCTATATATTTTTTATCTTACTTTGCCAAACTATTAATATCCTGATAGTATCAGGGTTTAAAAAAATAGGGTATATTACCTAATGTGTGATAGCACTTGTGTTAAACCTATAGAATGGTAGCATAAACTGTTAAATCTTTTAAAAAGTTCTTTCATTTGGAGAGGTACATGTATACTGTTCTGTACCTAGACCACAGCTAGAGCATGAGACCATTAGCTTATCAGCTAAGTGTGCCTTGGTGTTGAGATAAGCAGTCTATCAGGTTATTAAAACTGTCAGGAATGTTTGTGTTACAAATTGCCCTCATCTTGTTATTAATTGTTAAGTAATTGCTTTGGGGAGGAGCTGTTCACTTAAACGGAGTGGTTAATTAACTTGTGAGTTTAATATGTAACACTTGTTCAGTTTTAAAAAAAATCATAGTACATGTAACAGTGTTTCCATCATAAACATTACCCCAATGATTTACTATTGCATCAGTAGCTTATTATATAAAGGCCTAAGGAGTTTATCACCATGCATAACCAGTGCATCTTTTAATTATTAATAAACTTCTTAAGAAGGTATTTAATAATCCAATATCAGAGGTAGATCATTATTGCTATTTGTGTATGGTTTAGTTGCACCAAGTCAGTATGAAATATTGGCCTGGATTTTGTTCAACTCAGTTAACCTGCCAAAACAAACAGCCAAAGTTTATTAAATTGACCAGTAGGAACACATTTGTAGGTGCTGCTTTGGAAGACCTTGCTGAGCACCTTTGAATGGATAATTGATGGAGTGATTTGTCTGTACCATTAAGCTACAAAAACTCACAAAAATTCAATGATGTTACCAATAGTTTTAAATTCCAATCTTCCTTCTTTTTTTCATCAGTGAATACCTTGCTACTTACCACTGAAGGAGTTAATGATGGAGGTACTATGTTCTTTTCATAAACTTACAAAAACAGACTCCTAATGTAATGATTTTGATCATATGATTCAAATTCAAAGGGACTGAGCAGCTGACATGCACGTTTGAGGCCTAGAACACAAAGCACATATATAAACTTGTAATTGCAATCTTTTGAACAAAGTAGCATTTAATTTGGGGTGTATATAAGGAGCCATTGTGACCATGGAGACTGTGCAGACGGCAATATAGCATGCACGTTACAAAAATAAAACCATTAAAGCCATGGGGAAGTTTGGTAATCGCTACAACCACTTGCTGGGCTTAATGTTAGTATTGCAAATTTTTTATCAATGAATCAAGAGTTTTTTTAGCAGTGTAAAGTAAAATATCTTGCCATTCCTTTATTTGATATTTTTAAAATTTTCAAAATTTGAATGTATACCCCCCCATCCAAAAAAAAAAAAAAAAAAAAATAGAATAAAGATTGTTATATGTAGAGGGTGTAGTTGACCGTTTTGTTTGAATGCACAATTGACTGGAAAAGGGACAAAGTGTGTATGCACCATTCAATCAATGATATAACATGTCTGCATTCCACACATATTTTCTGTCAGAAAAAAAAATGAACCACATTTCTCTGTAAAATGAGACCCAGATTTTGGGATGCATGTTACAGTCTAATGTGTCCACGTTAACTTTTGACCTTTACTTGTCAGCTAACTTGGTTATTAAAAGAGTGGGTCCTATTTAATGGAAAAAACTTTGCAGTGGTAAGATATGATTGGTTGCACTTATTATTTTCGGTCTTTAAGAGGAGCAGAGTGACCATTTATATGGTTTGAAGGATCTGGCTAACATTTTCAATCAAATTGAAATGGAAAGTTAGATGTCATTTTTCTTTAAAACAGATTGTCAAAGAAGATATATATAGTATATATAATAGTTTTGTAAATTTATAAAAATGATTGATTGCCACTGCCCAAAGTCTGATTTGTTTTGTAGCAAAAGAACTGTTGAGAGAATTTTTTTACAGTACATTACCAGATAGAGATGTCAATGTCATCAACCAGATTTATCAAATCTTCTTCAATTTTTTTTTTCACAGAGGATTGGGTGCATTGTCTTACAATTCTGGTTTGATACACGCCACCATCATTAGAAAAAACTTGCTTTGGTCTGTTTCCAGCTGCCCAAATGTATCAGACACCAGTGAACAACATTTAAAATATTTTGAAGAGCTGTCTGCTGAATGAGGGGCAGGGAAATAATGGTGAGACACATGATATAGACAGGAACAAACAGTATTATAAATTCATTTGTTACTACAAGCTATGAATCATATTATGTACACAATACACAGACAAGAACAAACTGTTGAAAAAAGATAAGAAACTAGGTCAAGATAGGCTTCCTCATAACTCTAGAATACAAAAGATTGCCTTCACGTGCCTTTCTTCACGGTCCTGTATTCTTTTATTGATTCCACAATCAAAGAAATAAAAGAAAGATCAGGTGTCTGGTCTGACTGTGGTGATGCTATTAGCACCGCAACAATAACCTTTTGACAGAACTATCCCCCCACTCAGAGCACCTGTCAAGAGCACCTTGTTTAGAACTCTGATAGCAGTAAAAGGGAAAATTGTAACAGCAGCTCCCCAGACCCACATAATAACGTTATTATGTCCAAGTTTGCATCAGCTGATGGATGTACCACATAATAACAGTTGGTACTAGTAGGATGTGTGTATACTAGTAACCCCCTCGCTTACAGTACACACAAACACAGTGACACACACACACACTATTTCAGTTTAGCTTTTGTAATTTTCTGTGTATTTTACTGTTTATTATTATTATTATGATATAAATCCAAATATCAGACATAGCATCAAAATTGTACCCATTCTGATTAAATGCAATGTTAAGTCAATATATATTTCATCTCTCTGGGGTCAGTTTATATTATCAGCTGTGATGAAACTATATGTAGGCCAGGTCATATGTACCAGGTGAACTGAAGCATTTGGCTGTGTTCTCTGTGTCTTTTACCCTTCAACCTGTGTCACAGCACTAGTGAGGCTGGAATGATTAGACGATTGGTCAGATTAAAAGGAGTTTCTTTGATAAGGGTGTCCATGTCCATTTTTTTGTTTTAGTTATGTCTTTTTTAAGAATGGAATTCCCACAAGGTTGAAGAGAGTATATATACACTGTATACAGTACGTATGTGTTTCTTTCCAAGAACAGCAACAGCAACAAATAATTATCAATAAATAAAAATATGGCCCAGAAGCCTAAAGCTAGTTCACTGTTTGTATCTCCACAGTAAAAAAAAATTCCCTCAGTCACCCTTAACCCATCAAAATATATATACTTTTATCGGTGCATGATGTTGCACATGTCTGAACCCTGACCCTTTCTGTTGAGAACTGCATTTGGATAACTATATGTACTTGAACAATGATTAGGCCACACTTTTTTATTTTTATGGATGACATCCTCTGGGGACCCCAAAGTCGGTGCGAGCGGGCGAAAAAAAAAAAAAAAACAGTCCAAAAAAAAAAAAAACTGCTTAAGAAAAGTTATGTTTTCAGTACACAGCTGGAAACACTAANTTCCTGTTTATTATTATTATTATGATATAAATCCAAATATCAGACATAGCATCAAAATTGTACCCATTCTGATTAAATGCAATGTTAAGTCAATATATATTTCATCTCTCTGGGGTCAGTTTATATTATCAGCTGTGATGAAACTATATGTAGGCCAGGTCATATGTACCAGGTGAACTGAAGCATTTGGCTATGAATGTTCTCTGTTTCTTTTACCCTTCAACCTGTGTCACAGCATTGGTGAGGCTGGAATGATAAGATGATCAGTCAGATAATAATTCTGTTTTAAGAAACATGTCCATTTTTTGCTTAAAAACTTTTTTATTAATGGAATTCCTACAAGGCTGAAGAGAGTACTAGTATATATGTTTCATTCCAAGAACAACAACAGCAACAAATAGTTATCTATAAATAAAAATGTCCCAGAAGCCTAAAGCTAGTTCACTGTTTGTATCTCCACAGTAAAAAAAAAAAAAAAATTCCCTCACCCTTAACCCATCAAAAAATATATATATACTTTTATCGGTGCATGATGTTGCAAGATGGACCAGATACATGACACATTCTGAACCCTGACCCTTTCTGATGAGAACTGCATTTGGATAACTTTACATACTTGAACAATGATTACAGGATAAAAAAGACACTAGGTCAGATATATTGGTAAAACTGAGTGGTCCATTTGCTAGTACCTCATCACCTGAAACAATATTATACTGCACTATTTACACAAACACAATATTATACTGAACACCTGTCCTTTCTGTTTGTTTTAAGCCACTATAAACACACCATATTTAGATATTTTCAGTCAATTAAATAAAGTGCAGATCTGAAATAGATGTCTAAATCTATAAACTGGGGGTCATGGCAACTGTAGAGTCACACCCCATCACTATGGTGATTTGCAACACAAATGTCAGTCAGAATGGCTTTCTGGCATTTATCAAGACAGTAGGGCAAATGTCTTTAGAGGAGTTCACATAATGATGCCTAGTAGGGTGTTCATTAAAAATGGTCTTTAGCCCGGTGTGTAACTCCTCTTGTAGGTTATTGACCTTTTTCTTTTTATAATACCATGAATGTCACTTGCAAATTGGTATTAGAAATCAATATATGTTGGAGTCAAGGCAATCTTTTTCTAGATTGCGTCAAAATTTTACATCTCTTTTTGAGTTGTCTTTGTATTGATTCTTCTTTGTTTGTGCACAGTGTGCATGTACATGTATGGATTTTACTTTGATGTTTTAACAGTGATGAAAAAAGTAAGACATACTGTTGACTTACAAGTAGCAGCTTTGTCTCTGTATATACATAGCATCTTTTCATCTCTAAAGTTCAATACGTTATGGAAATTGGGATATTGGAAAACTAGAACGTTAGACTTTATATTGAGTAGTAATTTAGGGAAATTTTCACTGTCAACACACTGGTAGATATCACATAATAGGCCCCTCTTGTGAGTGAAGAAGACACAAAGTTCATCATAGATAATTTCAAGGATCAGTTGTTTATAATGCATTATAACAACTCAACAAGACAAATGAAGCTGTTTTTATCCATGTACCAATTTACCAGGATGAAGGTTTAATTTGTTCCAACCCCTGACATCACTGTAATTATAAGATTTTGCCCAGTAACCCAGATAGAGACTGGGCAACTGATCTGTTTATTGGAATGTGTACGTGATCTATGCTTACGTATATATTTATGGATAGTGAAGTTGCCAGTGACTTGGTGTTTGCACTTTAGAAACCTGAGATAACTCCTCATCTGGTTTAAAGAGGAGGGTAAATGCTGTGTAAACAGGACCAGGAGCCCAAACAACTGGTCACTGATAATGGTAACTTTAAACTGATCTTCTCGGCTCTGTTGGCAAGTTCATACCAGAGTCAACTTAAGCCATGTTAACCTTGAAAAATTATACAAATAAGATTAATGAAATAAATGAATGTTAAATGCTTTCTGAAAGCATCTCAACAATACTATTGCAACGAAAAAGTCTGTTATGTTACTTTACATCCTGTCAATTTCTTTGCCACAAACCAATAAACAGCTGATCATCTGTTGTGAATGTGACCTATGTAGTCAGATCCCAGGGTTTTGATTATAAACTATGTACTGCTTTAGATTTAAAAATATCATTCAAATTAGTTCAAGGGATTTTTTACAAGGCTATAACCTGACATCATGTGCTCAGGTATGTAATCTCTACATTGTAATTTACACAAAAAATTATATTTATATGTATTTCCTTCAGTTAATCCTAAGTTAGGTAAGTTGAACCTGGTGAACAACCTGACGTTACCTAGCCTGCCTTGCTAGCTTGTCAAGTTACACTGGCATTTCTGTTGATACGGTCTAATGATCATTGGTGTGGTAACATGGCATGGTACTTACTGGAGACCCATTTATGCTTAAACTATATGGAGCACAATATCTGAATACAGATTTGAAGTGTGTTCAGGATGAAATGTCTACTATTGAATTTCAGATGTATAAATGGATTTAGTTACTTAGGATTAAGGAAAATAATCCTCCTCTCAGTATGTCACTGTATATGGGTATTGTAAATGACCTCAATTTATGTAAGGTGATCATATTTCTTCTGACAGAAACCCAGGGGGTGGGTTGTTTATTGACTACTTCATCCACAGGTAGAATGGGTATAGTGCACTCTGTTGATCATTGGCTTTTCCTCTGGTTCTAGGTGGAGGGTAATGACCCAACTTGCACTTTTAGTTACTATTTACAGTGGAATGTTCTAAGTAGTTTATTAGGAAGGCAGGGTACTTGTTCAAAATGCAGGGCTGTCCATAATTTAGGACTTTTGACAGTAATGGTTTATGGATTATGCTATTTATTTATTTATTTAATCTGTCAGCTATTATAAGGATGCTGTCTGTTAAATTTCCGACATTTTTTAGTTTCCGTGTAAGTATTATTTGTAGAAATTATGCAGGATAACTATTACTCCTAATTTTTTTTTACTATACCTTACCTTATATTTTTTACAACTGTAGACGCTGACATTTATATTAAGGATCATTAAACATTCATTCATTTCAAAACACTGTATTCAGAGTCATTACACTTATGTCAGATTTTTATTTCCAAAAGTGTCTCTGTTTAGATTTAGATAGAGTAGAAGCTTCATTTGCACACTGCCAAGTCTAAATTGAAAACCGCCGAAGTTCAGGCATGAGAGTGCACGTGTGTATGTTTTTGTAGGAAGTTTATAAAAATGCACCAAATGCTGCCACAAAATTTGATTGGTTAAAATTACCCCGATTTGTAACAGGCACACTCATTGGCTGGTTGAGGTAGACAAAATCAGGTAATGAATGCAGCATTGTGAGTAATGCTTGGGCAGCGTTTACTGCACAAATAAATAGGTGTTAAACAAACAAGGCCAAGAGTTTCAAGATTTGGCGGGTCGACAGGGACTGGACAGGTCAGTTTGTGTTGATAGTGTACTGTACTGTACTTATGAAAAGGTTTATCTTGTTGCTTTCACTTGTGCTGACGTGAGTCAGACCTAGTTAGATGTCGTGGGCTCAACACCACTGCACTTCCAAGTTCTAAGTACTAAATTACTCAAAAGAGGTTAAAATAGGATTTGTCTTCCGTTTTGGTACAATGCTGAAGCTTTAAGAACACTTTGTCATCCACTTGAGATCTGATAGTACATGCATTTATACTTATACTTTCTGAACTGTTCTGAAAAAAAAAATTGAAGTCGGATTTTTTTTAAATTGAAGACTGGAGTTGCTGAAGTAGATTTACAGATATTATCTGAATGTCACTACAGAAGTCCTACTTCTATTTTAAATTTAGGAAATGTGGTACAAAAAGACATTCTCATTCTCGATAATATTTGGAGACTCCCTCATGTGTGTGTGTGGGGGGGGGGGGGGGAAATCTAACTCCAGTTGGAAAAATGTACCTGTATTTTTATCACATTGATGGACATTGTAAAATAAAGTAATTTTTATTCATGTTATGAATTTTCAGAAATCTCCCAGGAAGAACTTGGACAGTCCACGAAAAAGCAAAGGCACTCCCAGAAAGAAGGTCAAGGAACCAGAGCCAGCCACCCCAGAGAAAATGGACATCAGCAGCCTTTCGGATGAGGAACTTATGGAGAAGTTGAAAGAGCTTGGGTACTCGCCAGGACCAATTGTTGGTAAGGTTTTTTTTTTAAATGACAGAAACAAGAATTAGTTTCACAAAGATTCAAGTTTTTATGTCATAATGAAGTAAGTAAAAGTGATGTTTTTCCATGACATATTTTGGATCAGGAAAAAAGTAGCGCTCCTAAAAGTAATTTTTGTAATGGTTGATAGATCTCTCTAGAGATTTAGAGATAAATAGTTACTGTAAAAACTGATAAGTAGATATTTGACTGACTTGAAATAAATGCTAATGTAACTATTGAAAAGTAAAAAATAAACAATATATAAAATCATAAAAGACAAATTATTGTGTGTAAGCAAACTTTTTTGTAAGAGGTTTTACGTTCTAGATAAATTGATCTAATTCTCTATCAATTCCAGAGAGCACCAGAGCTGTATATGAAAGAAAACTACAGAATCTGCTTGACTTTGGTCCTGCAGGGGAAAGAGTAGGGAACGGGGAGGACCAATTCAGTGCTGATAGCTCACAAGGTAAGGGACAGACCTGTGTGTTGTATATATTTTGTACATTAACCTGAGAGCAAATATACAGAAACATTGGAGCAATAATCTAAAGAGACTAGCTGGAGAAATTTTCTTAAAGTTGTTCAGTCGGGAATTTTTTTTTTCGATCTAAATATAAAATCGGATTTTGTAGTGACTGTTTCTAAGGGGCCCCTTTTCTCCAGGCCCCCGTTTCACAAAGAATCTTAAATCCGTAGACGTCTTACTCGAGCTGGGTGGCCTAGCTAGGTCGACTTAGCTGAAGTCGACTTGGAGTGTTTCACAAAGAATCTAACGTCTTAGCTTGGCGTGCTTACCGTAGTCGACGCGCACGAGAAACTCTTCAAGAAAAGGAGGTGTAAAATTGCAAAAGTTTCACAAGACATGACGTTTCATGGCCTCTTTCGGCCGAGAACGATCGTTTATCAACGATAAAAGTCAGCCAAAACACAAACAAAGTTTGTTTTTGAACTTTATTGATTAGTTTAACTTCAATACAACTTCAAAGCAACAGTTAAACATTAGCTTGTCGTGGAACACTACTGAGGGACGTCTAGCGGTCAAAAACATAAACAAACACGCGATCGGCTGGGTAAAGTGGAATTTTATTTTTTATTTCAATATTCCATAAATGTCAGTGCTATTCAAGGATATTATAACACAATATCTTGAAGGAGGTATGTTCTTTCCAAATTTTTGTTGTTTATGCTCTCATTTACCGAGTTTTAGTTGAGCTTGCCGACTTAAGTCTCCTCCCGAGGAGGCTTGACATCGTCGACTTACAGCTAAGAAAAAAACGACGTAAGCGACCTTTTAGATTCTTTGTGAAACGGGACTTAGTGACGTAACGACTTAATTACGTTGGTAACCAAGCCCTAAGTCAGGGAAACCGACTTAAGTTTTTTTGTGAAACGGGGGCCAGAATCATCTTTGGATGGTTTACTTGTCAGTAGGCACATAATTATTTCATCATTAATTATATTTGTAGAGGAAGATACTGAAGAAGAACCAGAACCAATAAGGTGAGATTTTTATGCTTAGTAGGAGTCATATTTCTGTGATATTTGTTGGTGTTTATTTTTGCTATTATATTCACATATTTGAAAGAACACTCATATAAAAAGTTTGATCTGACTTTCGCAGATATTTTATAGCAGCTTAACAAGGAGATGAGTGCATTAACAAAGTGATATTGGAATTACAGGACGAGGTCAGATGATGTACGTAGAAGGGCAAAACAAAGCACAGACTCCCCGGCCAAAGCACGGCCACCCTCGCCACGGAAGAGAGTGAGGGACACAGGCTACAGGTATGGTCTCTGTAACACTGCATGCACCATCAGTGAAGTAGTTCCATTAACCAGTTAGTATTGGGTTGTACCTGTGGTTGAACAGTAAGGGTCAACAGCACTCTTGCCAAGGCCTTGGTCAGCGGTATGATAAAGATATGATAAAGAGTTCATAAGTAAGGTTTTACAGCCCTTGCTCACAGGTTAAATCTTTTAAAAGTTGATCGAATTACCACATGCTGTGAAAACCGCAAGGTGAATAGTGAGCATTTCTAGCTGAGTGTTTCATCCCCCTCCACACACCCCTTAAAACAATTATATGAAATTGCAACATTTTTCTTTAGATAGGAAAAAATAATGAATGCCTGCACTGAAGAGATTATTATTGTTCATGTTATAGTCTGTAAATCTTTTTATCACCATTTCAGGTCAGCACCAGCTCCAGCTGCTGATGTGGCTCCTCCTGCCACCTCTGGTGCTGCCCCCACACAGAAGAAACGCAGCCTGTCTCTGGTGGTGCAGGTCCTGATTTTCGTGGTCATTGCTGTTTTCGTCTTCCTGGTACTGCAGAATATGGAGCCGGCTGGGAAATCTAAAGTTCCCAAGATTAAGAGTTCATAAGAATCTGTATGAAGATGTTGGAGACTGAAGTGAAGTAAATGCCATAAAGATAATATCTTTGCATTGGGCTTTCTCAAAGACTGTAGTAACATTTGACATCTCTGTGTGTTCTTAATGAGCAAAGCCTTACTGATCAAATGAATGGTTTTTAGTGCCATTGGGCATAGGTTGAGATCTTATACCCCCTTTACACTGGACGGCGTCCTTTCTGCGACCATGAAATTTGGCATCGCTGTGGTCTCAATAAGGAGGCATGAGCATTGATTTGGTATCAGAATGAATGCTTAATGATCGGCCAGTTGTCGGCAGGTAAAGTATTATAATTCTTTAACTCTCAAATGGGGCCGAACTGCTGGACGCAGAAGGGACGCCGTCCAGTGTAAAGGGGGCTTTACAGTCACAATGCCTTGCAGTGGTAGTAGTTTGTGGTACACAGGTACGCAAGGATTCCATCAGAGTTGAGGTAATAGAGCTTATACGATTGGATTCCAACAAAATCTTGAGATAAGAGAGCTTATATGATTGAACTGAAATGTGACAGCCAGGGACCGCTATCACTGTAAAGATTTATGATGAGATCTTAAAACCTGTGTAAGACCCCATTCCCAGAGATTAGATTGATCCAACTAGATTGACCTAACTCCCTGGGGGTTCACGCTAAATAGCTGTCAGCCAAGCGGGCACGAAAGTTAATTACCTCCATACAGCTTGTAGTAGGCGGGACGGACATTTAAGCCGGATTATCTGACAGTAATCTAGTGAGACTCCCCACGGGGATAGATCAAACTAAAATCTATGGGAATGCGCCCTAAGTGTCTATGTACGTTTAACATAGATGCTATATGAGATTGAACATCTATATAAATGTAATCATTATTATAATTATTGATATCATTATTAATTCCATGCAGTTTTTGGTTCAGCAGCAGACTATTGTTTACTTTAAGAAAACTGAAGTTAGAGTATTTTCATTTCTATCACTAGTTTATACTTTTTGTGAAAAGATTTTACACTTTTCAAATGAAGCAGGATGGAATGTTTTGTTTAGAAATAATCATTTTTTAAAAAATTTAGTGGTGTTAAAATTCTAACTCACTAACAAGGAACATTTTTATGTCATCAAAAGTTAAACTACCTTGTTACTTAAACTTCTTTTGAAAGAAATTTCATATCAAACAGTCACATGAAAGATTGCCAATATTATTAAGGATTATTTTTGTATTACTTGAACATTAATAAACAAGTAGAAAGTTTAAGTTTTATTTGTTGTAAATTATTTTTATGATGTACTGTCCAAAAAAACTTGAATTGCATCAAATGTATAATGATAGAAGTTCTTTGATAATACATTTTATGAAAATGTCAGAATGACTTCCATTCAGAAGCACTTGAAAAATAGTCACGAAGTCGATCACCAGGTGTATTTTAAATAATCAAATTTTCAATTTGAGTTAATAAATTAGGTCTTAAACAACTGCAGTAATCTATTTTCAAACATTATCACAGGATTTTGCATTGAATGAAGTCCTAAAATTAATATATGCAATATGCTTGAAACCAATTTGAAAGTAACTTCCTGATAAACTTATCTTTGGTTCTTTTCATCTTACAAAGAAGACATTGGAAATTATTCATGAATAACAGTGTCAGTGACATGCCTCAATCACTTGGAAGTTGTGCAGCTATTTTGTCTGAAATTTCCAGGATGTAATCTTACGTCAGGGTGGCGCGGATCTTTGTTAACATCTGCTCGCACATCATCAGACATCTTGGCACGTGAAAACATCCTGGAAAACGTAAACGCGCCATGAGATCATTACCTCCATAAATACTAATGACATTAAGGTATATCAAAATGAGCATTCTGATTCACCTGTTTCAATTTAAAAGTAAGATAAAGATAGAATTATATTTGAGTTTCGCACTAGGGCTTAAGTTTATAAGGGAGGGAAAACATCAGGAAGAAACCATCAAATGAACTAAATATCAAATAATTAAAAGAAAATTAAGAATGTTTGAAAAAGTTCATTTGACTGCCAATCACATGATTTATGATTGTAATTCATGAAAATATTATAAAACTTTTTTTTTTTATCAGGCATGAGAACTTAGTTTCAAATTGGTAGACTGAAGTGTACAGAGAGTCTAAGGGCGTATTCCCAGAGCTTTTAGATCGATCTATCCCCGCGGGGAGTCTTACTAGATTACTGTCCGAAAATCCGGCTTAAATGTCCGCCCTCCAACTACAAGCTGTAAGGTGGTAATTAACTTTCGTGTCCGCTTGGCTAACAGCTATTTAGGGTGAACCCCCAGGGAGTTAGGTTGATCTAGGTTGGATCGATCTAATCTCTGGGAATGGGGTCTAAAGTTCACATACAGCTGTGACATATTCCACCACAACACACACCTTTAAAGGGGCCTCCCTTGAAGTCCATGTTAACTTGGCCCTCTTGGTTCAGGTATCCATACCACTCTCCGTTCTCCACATCTGAAAACTGTAATTTTAGAAAAACAATCATTAAATTTCATAATTACATGTATGAATATCTAATGATGTCAATTTAAAAACACAGGAAGAAATTAATCTTTATACAATGCATTTTAAAAGCTTAACTGAAGACTGCTCTATTGACCACACTGATCATTAACGTAAAAAAAATAAAAAACAAAAAAACAAACAAACAAAAAAAAAAAACAGAGTTTACGTGTTTCATGCTGTAGTCATAAACTTGAGCAAATCTCTCAAGATAAGCCTGGTCCTGGGTTTGGTCATACGCCATAAGAAACGCAATCATAGCCTCGTTATGAGGCCACCACAGCTTCATGTTCCACTCAAGCTGGGTGGGAGAGAGTCCATCTACGTCCAGGAAGTAGAACAAACCCTCGTGTTCCACGTCCCAGCCTGTGTTAAAGGGGTTTATGATGAACTTCTCGATGGCTGTCTCCTGCAATTTTCTGTCCTCCTTTTTAATGGCATATTGAAGCAGAAACCACCCACATTCAATGGCATGGCCTGAAAGAAAAATATGAATCAATTTCCAAAAAACATCTCCTCTTTTGACACTGGCAACAGCAATAATAAAAACCTTCTAACAGTATTAATTCAACTTCCTCAGCTTCAATTTTTCTTCATAAACTCTGACATGACTAATGAAAATATCACACAATGAAGTTTTATGAAGCTGCCTCATCTCCAGAACTCCACCTACCAGGGTTCATCAACCTTCCCATGCTGCCTGGCATTTCTTTTCCTTCTGGTGACACGTTCTCTAGTATTACTGAGCCTTCCCTCTGAAATGTGTTGAATTAGCTGGTATACAGAGAGAAGAATCAAGGAATTCAAGCTGTTTTTGTAGTGTGTGTGTGTGTGTGTGTGTGTGTGTGTGTGTGTGTGTTCATGCCTGCGATTAATAATGCTACTGGATAAAAGCTGAAATCTTTCTTTGTTTGCTTGTACAAAAATGCAAAAATCCATAAATTCTGTTCTCTTCTTCTTGGATCAATAACGTGTCTTAATTATTTGTTTTAAAGTCTTCTCACAAAAAATGAGTATCAAAATAGTAGTTCGTGAGCAATTAGGTACTTTTCATTTACTTTTGATTCTTGAATAGAGTACCCCTGCCCCCCTCATTTAGAAATCAAATGTTAATGACTTTTATAAACAATAATGCATTGTGTCCATTGCAGTTCACTGCTTTTATACCTGTACATGTGACAGCACCTGCTGCACACACCACTCCTCTAGTTCCTCATACGTCTTGTTAAGAGACTCATCTCCACTGGTGAGTTCATGAATTAAGCCTAACAGTATCATGGGTACTGCCAAACTATTGGTTGGTTTGACACCAGCCAACTTGGCATTTCCAATTTCTGAATCATCAACTCTCACCCAGTGAATGATCTTCGTCATCACAGACAGTGCTTCTTGCTGCAGCAAAATGAAAAATTGTTGAATAGTCTAACAATGGCTGAAAAAGTCTTACATGGACTATGATTCCCAACCTGAAAATGTATATGTTTACATTTAATTGAAGTGTACAAGTTATGTAAAACTTGTATCTATAGTGAACATTCCTGTGTTTCTCACCAATGCACTAAAACTGAAAATATATTTTGATTCAGTTTAGCAATAAAAATTATGAATTTGATTTCATTGTAACACCAGTATTTTCTTCTGTATACTTGTACATCTGTTGAACTTTTCACAAGTGTTGTGAAGAAATAAACTACCTGTGCTGTGCCGAATTAGTAACAGATACCTTGTATTTTTCTTGCTTGGTTGCCTTGGCAACCTCTGACATTCCCATCACATAGAAACATTCAGTGAAGATAGTCCTCTGCTGTTTGATTGGTTTTCCATCTCGAGTGGTCACAAAATAACATCTGCCTGTGGTCTGTTCCTTTACGTGCTTGATCATGAAATCTGCACCTGTGAAGAAAAGATGATAATAATAATAATAATAATAATAATAAATGTTTGAAAATTAAAGAAGTAAATATAAAAAAAACCCCAACAAATGTTATGAGTCTTTATATCTTTTTTAAAATGTAATAATCAAAGAAAAACAGAGTCATAACAATGACCAAATCTTAAAACAAATAAAAGAAGGAATCTCAATACTGGAATCCTGTCAAATATTTTTTCAATAAAAATATGCAGAAATGGGTGGACTGTGCACAACAGTAAAAATAAACCACTGATGATGTTTGTCTTTACCTTTCACAGCAGCCTTGAGAAGTTCTGGCCTACGGAACCTCTCCACTTCATTATACAATTTAGCATACGTCCAGACCTGAAGTTTGAGAAAGACTATTATAATAAAAACAGATTGTGTTGATGTGGTGTTAATGACATGCAAGTTGAATGATATTAATTTTTCATCTATTTATGGAGAAACTAAAAAAAGCATATGTGCATTAAATATTAAAATACCATGATTTTCATTTTTTTAAAACTGAATCTATGGTTTATCATCTGTTCAATTACCTGTCTCCCTTGCAGCCAGCCATATTTCAGGTCATCATAAATCTTCCCATCCTTCCCCAGACAAGCAAAGAATCCACTAAAATTACAAATAAAACACAAGATACTTTAGTATCCACATTGTGGAAGGCTTGAATAGTGCAATATTGAAGTCGGAAATTTCTGCATATGGTAACTTTCATATTCCACAATATACATGTAACATCTCAAATCATTAAATAGCAAAACACAATTAAAAAAAACTAAATTCTGATGACAAGTACATTATCAACTTAACTTATACTTTACTTTTTGGTGAATAAAAGTCACATTAATCACTATATCAATAATTTAAGTATTCATGTGATATTGTTACAATATTTTTAGAAAATTTAGCAATAATAAAACAATTTTGTTTTTGAAGTAATAATCTTAAAGTTCTCAACAAATTTTTTGCAATTTTTTTTATTGCATTTGTGGCAAAATGCAAAATGATCTATCTTATGCCAAGCATATCTTAATTATCACATCATCTTTATCAAATTTCAAATCACCTCTAATTTTGTGGAAGATTTCACTTACTACAGTAGTAGCATTAGGCTCTACTTCAAGACTGGAGTAAGAAAAATTATGTATTATGCAAATATTTAATTGTTCCACAGAAATTTTTTTACAGATTTTTCACCAATAAAAAATATCTAAGCAAGTTCCTTTTAGACTTAAAATATGAAAAAAAAGCTGATTTTTCAAATTATTCATTAAATTTCAATGAAATACTGTGATCAATTTAAGTCTTATTATGACATGTATTGCACTATTTAAATTCTCTAAGTGGAGAAAAAAAATATAATCTATACAACATGTTCCAGTAATATGAATTGTGTCAACATTTTTACAAACCCGAATTCTTCATCATGAGAATGCTTAAGCCAGAAGGCTACACAACGATCCAAGTCCGCAGAAATCCTTGCCAGAAACTCTGGGATTCTCATTTCCTCTATACTGAATGGAACACTCATCCTTTTTTAACTTCTGTGGTTTCTGAAAACATAGCAATAAAATAGGGCTCACATATACTTGTAGTATATATATTTACTAAGTGTTAATACATACAGTGTACATATAGGTATACAGTATCTACTAAATGTATGCACAGCCATAATATGTAAAGACATTACACGGCAATTATGACTATGCTTGCCAGAAATTAACTAAATATTGACATATTCTGCTACAAGAACAGAATAAGTAAATTCAGTTTTATTAATACGGACATTTTGTACGTCATGGTAAAATCAATCAAAGTTTTCAACATTATTTACTGTACGTTTTCTACCACCATCCCGCACGGTATATTTTTAATCTCTAGGATTACCCGATTTTTTTTAGGTAACAAACTTGTAATAAAAATCTTCTCATGCCGTTCATACTTACAAAATTGCAAGTCAGATATATACCTAAGATATGTGCTTGTTCATGAGTGTTGTCAAGACCAAAAACAGGTATATGCTCTAAAAAAAGTTCACTGATACTAAACACGCGCGCTTGTCAACAGATGGGTGCCGCCATTTTGACTTTCGTTTTCTAGTCACATGATCGGATAAAGGTCAACCTTCGCCAAACAACTACTTCCTGGACTAAATGGAGCTTTAATTTCAGATAAATGGTATCCTAATCAAACACATGAGCTATTTTCATGTCAAAGTCTGACGTAAAGCCCCTACAGAGTCCATTATTTATGGGGCATACTTTCAGCTCTAATCGAGATGTTACGAGATAACACGTGAGTTGCGACGCCCCCCTCATCAAAAATGGCACTGATCACTGGGAAGACGACGTTAGACGACACCGTGCCGTTAATATGCTCAGTTGAGACCGCACAAAATGTCGGAGATCATGTGGTGAGTAGTCTTATGTTATCAGTTCATGTGTCACTTTCGAATGGTTTACCATACGTCCTGTAAACTTCCGGAAGCGAGTTTGTTTTGATCACGACGACCGCGAATGATCGCAATTACAAGGTATATGCTGAAATAGGAGCGCTGTATACAGCATGTCTAGCTGTGTCACTTTCACCTGTGATGTAATTTTATTAATTTATGGTCGTTTAAAAGGGGTACCGACTGTAGATGTACAATAAACACTTTTGTTTAGGCAAAAGCAAATGACTTTCCCTTTTACAGTGAACATAATTGCTATTGATTTTCTAAAAATAGAACACAGCGGTGTCAACCTCATGTGATATAGTTTGGAATCGATTTATTGCTTCATTTGGCGTATTGAACTCTTGAACAGCCATGCAGTTATGAGTTGATCAAGCCATTTTATTTGTCCCCCACCCCAGCTGAAATTACCATGGAACTTTTGAAACATTGCCGATCCCTTTAAAAAAGTTTATCTGTTGTTTTGGCCACAACACCCAAATCACAATGAACAAACAAACGCACAAAAACAAACAAACAGAGAGATTAACATATGAATGAACAAATTGCATATTTAAACAGGTTAATGGATAGATAAAAAGAAAACAAGATTCAGACTGACGTATACAGTATATGAAAATATAAATCTTTAAAATGATAGAAGGCGTGCACAAGTTAACCATGCTATGACTGCAAATACACTGGCTAATACATAGGCTTATACACACTGTACATGTTCATAATAAGTAAATATTAACAGACATTATTGTGAACATGCTAGTGTTGGGTCTAGAGGGTACCCAATAAGTTTTGAAGCAAAAAAAAAAAAAAAAAGTTCTTCATTTTGTGGTCTCTCTGTAAGAGAACCTAAATTTCTTTTTTGAACTAAATTTCTTTTTCTGTATTTCAGTCCTATGAGATCAAGGTACAGAGAGGGATAGCAGCAGAGAAGGTTTGGACAGTCAACAAGAGGTACAGCGACTTTGTAGCTCTGGACACGTGTCTTAAGACTGCCAATATTGACCTACCACTGCCACCAAAGAAAGTGTTTGGGAATTTTGACAGAGAATTTGTAGCAGACAGAAAGAATGGATTACAGGTAAGGTTAAGTAAATTTAATAAAAAGGTTTAAATGTGTATGGCTGAATAAGGAAAAATTGTTTTTAACATGTGAGATAGTAATCGTCATTAGAATGCTCCATATTTTACTATTTTCTGAATCTGCGATATTGTAATATACATGTACAAGTATGTCATCAGATACATCCAGTTAAGATGTTATTTATTTGTTAAACTGTGTTGTAGATTTACAGGAAATATATAAACAAATAATTTGGTTCATAAAATATGTTGAATGATACTTGTATTCCTAAATACACAGTACTGATATTTTGTGCATCCTTTAGACCTACCTAGAAGCCATTCTGAGGAATCTTCTCTTAGCATCCAGTGCATTTACTAAGAGGTTTCTGGATGAAGAACATTATTCCAGGAATTTTCAAGGTGAAATAAGTGATATGTCTCTTTGAAGCTTGATGTTAGACTAATATCAAATATTTTATCATTTAGACAGTTTAATAGAAATTAAGATTGAGTAATTTCCCCCTAGTATACTATAATATTTTACACTTCTTGAAATATAAAACAAACACACAGAAGGATTTTTTGCTCTTTTGAAGCACTTTGTAAAAAAGATATGGATATTTTGCTTACAAATAGTTTTCCATTTCCAGAGGAAGCACTGCAGCATGTTTCTATGTTCTTTAGATCAGAGCCAAAATATGAAGTCATAGAGCCTCTCCCTGACATAGGTATATGTGAGATGTGTGCAAGTGTATGTGTTCATAAGTGCATGCAAGTGTGTGCCACTTAAGGTCACATTTTTTACAGAGCAGTAGTGTTAGCATATTTGCAATCTTTTGCTAAAATTGATAAATCAAGAATAAGAAAAATTATGAAACTGATTAATAAACACTAAATAATTATAAAAAATATTCTCTGGTGAATCTTGTATAAGTTTGTCTGAACATTTTAATTGACATTTTGATATAAAAGAGCCCCACTGTGACTGGTCAACCTATGTCTCTTGTTTGCACTTCGTTAGGCTGGAGGATAAGGAAGCAGTATTTTCTTGTGAAATGTGCAGATCAGCCCAAGCTGAAGCAAGTACTCTCATGGGTAAGTCTGGCTGAGGAAATATTTCCTTAACTTTTAACAAAGATGAAAGTCTTCCAGGTTTTATCTAGGAATCCAGGCATATGGGTGTTGTATTTATGCCTCCAGACCCCCTCCCCCTCCACCATACGAGGCTGTGTACCTTACGTGCTTGCATTATAGGATTTTTAAGGTCTGTCTTTATCCAGGCCGGTAGCCAGGGGGGGTTCGGGAGGTTCGAAAGAACCGCCCCTTTTGCTGGGAAAAGGTCCACTCTGGGTAAAAATTGATTTAAGTATATTACGTTTTTATGGGAAAAGGTCCACTTTTTCAGAAAAAGAACCCCCCTTTTGAAATTGCTGGCTACGGGCCTGTTATCAGTGTTTTAAGAAAATTTGCAATCTACCAAAAATGAAAATGTGAAAGTCAAGTGAATCAGAAATGATAAATAGATGGTTTTTCTGTTTCATTACTTAGAATTTAAGAAGCACAGTGATATATTTATATATATATAATTTCACATATGAAATAAAATACACTGCTGTATTTTGACTTTTCACTTATATCTTTTAGTGTAATTATGGCCCTGACAAGTTTTTACAGGACAAAGACCTGACTGCAATATTCAAATTATTTTCCAATTTTCAAGTAAGTCTGTCTTTCTGTTCTTTAATCTATTTTAAAGTAGATGTATAGCCATAGGCAGAATTGTGTCTGTTAACAATTTGGTTAAAATCTTCTCTTATCTGCAGATATTTATCCTTCATTTTGTAATAAATTTTATATTTCAAACTATTGATTTTGTATATAACTTGAGATTATAGGAACCCTATATATAAACAGAAGTTCAATTCAGTTGTGTTATGTATTGTAGCATCCATATATCTATCCAGTGGGGTTTGGCTATGCCAATGAGAGCGGAGGACTGACAATTAGACATTACAATGAACAGGGCTCATTTAGGGACAATTTATGTAGGGTAAGAGATGGAAAGAAATTTGGAAAAAGTGATTTATATGGCTGTGGTAATAAACGTGAAAAGAAGAAATGGAATATGTTGTGGAGTAAATTATGTCAAAGACAGTTTTTTTAATCCTGTAGCAGCTAGTGAAATAGTTTAATCACAAATGAAATATATTTAGTTTTCACCAAACGTTCTACGTTATGTGCTGTCACTCCAGCCTTCTTCAAGTGTCAGTCTGTAAAGGGCTGTTTTATAGGGATGTTTTATCACAATATTTTAGAAGATATTGTTATCATCTTTATTGTACACACATTTGTCAAACAATTTTAAAGTATTTTTCAAAATGTAGTTATGCTGATGATCCACGTTGGTTTTTTACTCGTGTTTTATCCATTATTCATTCTCATCTTTATTGACTTTGTATGATTTGCAGGCAAAGCCAAAAGGCCACTGTCTCAAAAAGTATGGAAATCCAAAAACAAGAATATTTATGCAGTTGCCAGATGTGAAGTTATTCGGAAGACAGATTTTAGAAACCTTGAAATTTTTACATGATAAAGGGGTGCCCTATGGTGAGTATTGGTCTCTGTAAGGGGCAATGAAGTGAATCTCTTTTTATAACCACAGCTCCAACCACCATTTAAGTTCACAAGGGGGTGGGGAGGCAGGTGCAGTTGCCCTTATCTTCAGTTTTATTATTGGACATAAGAGGAAGAAAATATAAAGTGTGCAGGAGAGAGATGATGAATTATACTGTGCAAAGGGTATTTATCTGAGCTTAGGATTGCAGAGTACACTTAATACCAAAAACTAAAGATGATTTGAAAATTATAAAAATAAAAGACAGTTGAGAGCTCAGTGTTGTAGAGTGCTATTTTAAAAGCCAAACACTACAAATGATTTGAAAATTAAAAAAATAAAAAAATAAAAGAACTGTTGATTTTACTCAGAGCTCATGAATTTGTTTCCAAAAGCACTGTCTTATATTTTCCCTCCGTGATTTCCAGGTCATTTACACGCAGGAAACATTCTACTGCATGATGGGAAGTGCAAACTTACAGAACTGGAGAATTGCTTTCTGGGATTGCCAGCATATTACAGACCATATTACACACAGTTTAAAAAAATTAATGTGAGTATTATAAGGTGAAGTTTTACATTTCAAGTGGAGACACACCGTGCATTGTACTCACATCATTCAAATCAATTATCAATCATACAATGTATCTACAAATAAGAATTATTAAAAAGAATAATATAATGACAGATTTTTGTCTATGCCTTTTCCTTTCAGACCCTAGAATCTATAGATGTGTATAGTTTTGGTCAGTTATTGTATGAGCTGTCCACTGGGGTCCAGCTGGGCTCACCAACCTGTGATGTGTTTCCTCCCTCACTGCCCCCTGAAGTCAGTAAGTAGACTTGTGTCCAGTACAACTTAACAGTGGAAGTCATTCAGTAAGATATTGATGGTGGTGCTTTCTGTTTGTCCTGTGTAGGTGCTGTTTCTCCTGTAGCACTAAGACATGTGACATCTTATAGAAGTTGATCACAGGTGGTCTGTGTTAGAATGTGTCTGATTTTTTTGCTTCAGTGACATTCAGTGCAGTTTGGTAGCGTGTTACGGTGTTCATCACAATTTAATGACCTGGGGTACATGTAATACTGGTACTGTCATATAAATCTATTGTCTTTAGGTGTGTATATTAATTGTCTTAGTACTCAAAGGATTAAAGGAGTTAGTGAATTATAAAGTCTGTTAGAAGGCGCTATAGGTGGAGATTATGTTTTTCCTGATGCAACGGTGGATGTTTCAGCGCCTCTTTCATCTATTCTTCTATATTCCAGGGTCAGTGTTGGAGAGCATACTGACACAGGAGGCCTGTAAGAATGGTTTACCATCTGTGACAGATCTGCTACAACACACGTAAGTAGATACACCTGATGAACTTAGGGAAACTTCAGTTTACATACCAAAAATATGCCACTGGAAACAATATTTATTGTTATTATTCATTTAAAAACTTAATGATTTTTAAAATTTCTAGACCTTGTGTTTGTCACGTTAGTGACATTTGAACATTGAAAAAGTTGATGCTAAATAAAGGAATAATTTAGAAGTGTATACTTGACATTTGCAATACTGGTATTATGATTTTCAAAGTAAATATTTTTAGTAATTATTTTATTTTGTAGGCTGTTCTGTGATGTGCACCTCCCCAGTACAGATAAACCAGCTGTGAAGATTCCCAGTAAACTGAAAGAGGCAATCAAACTAGCCAAAGAACAAATGGAGAAGAGGTTGAAAGAAGAACAGAAGGCGGTATGAGTGGTCCAAAATTAGATTTTGATACTGATCAACACTAGATGTTTATAAAACAGCTTTCTACTCTGGTTTTTTTCACACCATTCCCACAAGTTGGGACTAGAATATGTTTGAAAGGTGAAAGATGCATGCAAGGCAAAGGTTTTAGGTCTGCTGGCTCTTATGATGTGGTGCACATCAAGCTGTTTAAATTTTTTATCACTTTTATACATAAACATCAATGGGGATTATGAATATGTTATTAAATTTGAAACAAATGTTCTTAAACTGTAAACTACAAATCTTTTTATGACAGCAGCTAAACTTTTCATCATTTGACTCTATTTGGGCATGATCTATTTATTGGATGCAGACAGGAGACAGACCTTGTAAATATTATAGACAAGCATGGAGGAGGGCCACATGTGGGAAAAGGTTATACCCTGATTATTCTGGACAGGATCTGAAAAAACCTGAAGATAATGATTTAAAATGCTACACTTATTACCTGGTATTTGGTTGAATTGCAGATCCACACAGTGAGGAGGAGGTCCAAAGCTCAACAATTCCACATGTCAGAGGAAGAGAAGAAAAAGAGGAGGAAAAATAAAAAGGTATTTTTCCCTCTCACATTCCTCAAAAGTTTTTAAAGGTTCAGTGTTACTTTATAAACTATGAAATAGACGACCCTTTGAATTTTATTGTTTAAAAAGTGAATATGTAAAGGTAGTTTAAAAAGAATGCCAGTTGAGTTTAAAAAGAATGTTAGTTGCATGTTATTAATACTCTGACGTGCTGAGCAAATTTTATTGCTTGTTTCATCATTTCTCAAATCCTTGGCAAAAGTTTTTGTTTTGTTAATTTTAAGAAATCCTTGGCAGAATTTATTTTTGTTTTTCGTTTCACAAAAAAGAAATTCTTGGCAGAAATTAAATTTTATTTTTCCACTTCACAGAATAATAATCACTGGCAGATGTTAACTTTTACGTCTCATTTCACAGAAATCCCTGACAAATGTTAATTTCTATTTTTCCACTGCACAGAATAATAATCTCCGACCGAAGTGAAATATTATATTTTATTTCACAGAAATCCCTGGCAGACTCAGAAGAGGGCAGTGGCAGCAGTAAGCGGGACAGTAATCCTCCCACAAGTCCAGGTCCCAGTAGTACCAGCTCTACACCAGCCACCCCCACAGCCCCCGCAGCCCCCGCGGCTCCTGGTGAGTACAGAGGTCAGGGGACTGCCCCCCCCTCCAACTTAACATAGCATGGAATATGTGTCTCTTTTTATGAAGATGGTCCTATTCTGAAATAGGCAGAACTTATTACTTCAACTTAAGAGTTGGTCCAACTTGACGTACCAGTAGCATAGAGTCTAGATCAAAATTTAAGTCAGAATGGATTTTTTTTGACCAAAAGGATGGTAATTTTGAACACCCAAACCCCCACCTACTGCCAGGCCTGGGTTATAGTGAGAGATGAGGGTGTGTCCATACTTGGCATTTTTATATTGTTATAAGTCGGGCCTGTAGCCAGTAATTTCTAAAAAGTGGACCTTTTACCATGAAACTTGAACAACCCTTGCTGTGGGCTTGTTTGTTGATCTTCACTCTTGCTTCATACTGAGGGCTACTCTTGCTTAAATTTAGGGGGTGTAGCCATGTCAAGGCGAGAGCTTTCTTACTTATTAGTTTTTCCCTGCCTTCTACATGTGTTGGAAAGAATATTTAAAAACTTACGGTTTTCTTGCTTTTTTACAATTATTTTTAAGATGGGTATTTCAGTGGAGATTTAAAGGGCTTTTTACTTTTAAGTTGGCATTCTTTGACTCATTTTCTGCTTTTACTGACATTGAAAGTAAAATACATTTTGATCAATTTGGAGAATTTGCAAGCCTGGTTATTGTCTGCATTGTGTTTTTATTTTATGAAATGAGTTTGTAACTCAATAATTATATATACTGTAATGGTAATAATACGCTGCAAGATAGAATAGTTTTTAACTGCTTATTTTGTTTTGCTAATTGATAATAGAAAATAGACAATTTAACCCAAGTGTCTGACATGTAGCTAGAATTGATAAATCATCATAATTCTTTTAAAACTACAGGATTCAGTGTTTTTCATTGACAGGTATTTCTTTTTTTATATAAATTGTATTTTTTCAACAAACCAGTAACTTAAGAGAAAAAATCACAAAAAACTGAGAGGAATATATTTCTTGATCTCTTTATGTCTTTCAATATTCAAGGAAAAGTGAGCAGGTAAAATTATGTCCTAGTCTGTCCACATAGGGGCCTGTCTTTACTGTATGTTATGGTGTTTATTTACTTACATTATATTTAGAACTGTGCATGTAGCCTCAGCTATAGTTTTTCCCCAGAAGAACATGTTACTAGCAGATGTGGCAAATTATTATTTTTTTTTCAGCCTAAAATATTTCATCAATTCCACATAATGATTGACATTTGGATATATGAATTGCTTATATATTAAGTGATTTTTATATTACCTGTATTTGGCCTATACCTCTTTATACTTCATGATGGAACTGGCACTATGACATTTTCTCAATGGTCATAGTATCTGCATTCAACCCCACCCCAGCACCCACGAAACAAAGGGGGGGCGGGGTAGAAAACAATCTGCACTTAGAAGTTGCAGGTAGTTCTGTCATCAGTTTAAGCAGTAGCCAAAATGCAAGGAGTTAAAAAAATTTCACATACTGATAGTACCAGTTGGTAAAAGAAATACCACTATATGTTTAAAAATATCCAGTGAACCTCTTAAGCATGTTTTGTCAAGTTTTCAATGGTTTAAAACTCTGGTCATGCAGTGCTCTGTGAACATGTTCCACATGTTCTCGGTATGACGGATTGATGTCATATATATGCATGCAAGCTGCATGAGGGTTTCCTTGCTATATATATACCAGTTACATGAATGGTTTTACTTTTATACTCTATCTGGGCGGAGAAAAAAAAACACAAGGCCCTACAGTATTGAGTGTGGTATTTGATGCTGACTCCTGTTGGTTTATAAATAATTGACTGAATTCTTACCAGTTTTAGAAGTGAGTTTAGACTACTGTGTTTGAGGTTATCACCTGTTCATTATTTTGTTATAGGGTAATTCTAAGATTTTAGTTTTAGATGACGTTTTTTTTTTTTATATATATCTTTCTTTTATAAATGTATTCTGAGCTGCATTCCCTGCTTTATATGTAACACTATACTTACATCAGTAAATATTCAGATAGATGTGATGTGATTTAGATGCATATGAATCTATTGATTATTGTTACAGTATTGAGAAAAAATTTAACTATACTGACATATAACATTACAGTGATTTTGTTGAGAAGAATGATGAAAGAGCTTATTCATTTCTTGCGTTATGCACATTCATTTTAATGTTGACTGAAGGTTTTATAACATTAAAACTAATACTTAAATTTAAAGGATTGCAGAAGCTCATAGAACTTTGATTTGCTATTGATTGATTGATTGATTTCCCTGTTTGCTTTTACAGATGAATGTAATGGTTAACGTTAAGACAGATAGTGACTTCTCTCAAGAGGTTGGTTTTGTTCACCCTGATATCTGTAGTGTTCTTTACTAATTACCAAGGTTCAGCAGTCTGGTTTGTTAACTCTTCACCAGACTGGTGGCTTGGACTAACAGATCTCAGGGGGAAATTACTAGTCTGAATTAAAATTTTTCCAATTGACATCCAAGGGTGAAATCTGAAGATGACGGGACATTTTATCTAAAAGAAGTGCTGCTATTCTCTCAAACAGATAATCATGGATGGCACTTTTGTTCCTCTTTTTAGTAGTGACTTTGAATAATCTGAGGTTGTTTATTTGCGACTGTTACTTTGGACAAGTGGTGAACATCGCAGACAGGTGCTGGTCTGCATGCATGCATGTTGGGGGTCCGGAAATTCTAAATTCTTGTTAACATATTTCTATATATAACAACTCAGTTTTGAGAAGTGACATAAAACCTAGATCCAGTTTAGATTCAGAGTCTACCTTTTCCAGCCGAAAGAGAGTTATTTTCAAGACCCCCCCCCCTCCTGTGCCCTGTATATGGGCCTGGTGTATTTTAAATAAGCATGTGGTGGCAAATTAACACTAACCTTCTAACATTAGGCACCAGTAAAGATATAATGTGCTGGGAGCAGCTGTTTTAACTGTTTGTGAATGACAACCAATTTAACCCTTTCTCTGCCAGGAAAACTGATGGTATTAAGGGTTCATAAGGGTTAATCACTTTCACTTTCATTTTCACTTCTCTTGTGGTTGTGGTAGCTGTACTTTTACAGGCTATGAAGTGAAACTGTTTATATTTGGTAATAGATATTAGGCATATTTTGCAGTTTACTCGGGTATCAAGGAAGATATGAGTTTCATGTACAAGCCTGTAGAAAGGTGTTGGTTGATAGTACTCATGGTTTACCCTCAGTTACTAGAAGTACACCCATGAAACTTATGTATAATATAACCCTTGTATGTAAAACTTACACTAACAGTATTGAAGTACTGTAGGTTATGATGTAAGTAATAAATTAGTACAATGTTTATGAGAAAAGAAGAAAATGTATCTATACTATTATTATTGTAACAGTAGTCTTTGCTGAAGTTAAGAATTAGGAATCGACACTCTTTGACTCTCAGCTTTCTTATGAGCTGCTTCAGAAATTTTTAATCTGAAACTTATGTACTCATTGCCTTATATTGTTAAATTTCGAGTGTATTAATTGCAGTTTTATTTTTAATTCTTTTCTCCAATATATGATCATATGTTCTGTTTATTTACTTTCAGCGCCACCACCACCACCTCCTCCCGTGGGGGGTGCACCCCCTCCCCCACCCTCCCCAGCAGCGGCGTCCACCCCACCCCCTTCCTCCGGTGGCAGGGGTGCACTGCTCAGCTCCATCACCAGCTTCAGCAAGGGAGGGTTGAAGAAGACTGTCACTGTGGACAAGAGCGCCCCTAAGATTTGAACCTGACATCTGGGACCTCTCTCTCTCTCTCTCTAAACCTGGCTGATTAATATTACCATTTGTCTAGAATAATTATTTGTTACATTATGGTGTTTTTAGATTAATCAGCCAGGCTGGGATATAGAAGCAATACTGGATTTTTGACTCTACATTATTGCCATGCTTTCAATTATCCAAGCAGACAGATATATTTAAAAGGACTTTAGTTTCCATTCTTGATATCAACTTTCTGTGACATTTACAAAAAAGGAAAAGGAACTGTAAAACATGAGGCAAATATTTGCATTTTTTCTTCAACACAGCTAATTTTATATCCCATTACATGCAGCCTTAAACAGCTTTAATAAGTAAACATATTCTCTACTGGCTGATACCTTATATTGCACCCAGAGACATGGGTGTTATTTGAAATTGCAGATGTTCGATTCCGTGTTGTGAGTGACAAAGGGCAAGTAGTGCCTGCAATATTTGTCATCATTTAATATTCACCAGTAAATGTTGTCTACCTATAAATAACAGAGAGAGAGAGAGAGAAGTGTGTGTGTGTGTGTGTGTGTGTGTGTGTGAGAGAGAGATAGAGAGTGAGAGAGAGGTGGTAATTATGAGACAGATCAAAAAAGGTGCTTGACAATAAATGAAATGTCAGCATGAATAGTGTGATAATGTAAACATTTCAAAGAATTTCCAAGCTATATTAATATCACCATGAGATGAATTTTATGTATATTTCTCATATTAAATATAAATTGAAACGATATCAAAAATTTGGTGCTCAAATGTGACAAAACAATATGTGTATGATAGTTTTAACTCGTTACACAAGATTTATGCCATTTTCAAGTATTGTTGGAA